TAATTTCCAGCCGGAATTGACTTTTTGATTTTTTTCATTACAAAAATAGAAATAGTTACAGCTGATCTCAAAATTAGTGGGACACGTGATTAAATTTTTGTTGATCCACAGTAAATTTTCAGTAATTACATTTACCGAAAATTTTATGTGATTGTTGGTAATATGTTTTTTCGGCCATAACACAATTTTCGGTAAAAAAAAAAAAAAATCAGTATATTACTGTATGGGTGCAGCAATAACAATTTAGTAACACAAACACAATGTCACAACATTTACCTTTACTTAGATATCGTTCTAATGCCTGCCCTATCTGTTTAGTATGTTTTGTATGCATAAAAGTTTATGGTGAAGATTGTCTTTATCAACCTATAGAGCTTAATCGAAAAAGCAAAAAGGGTATTGAATATAAACTAGATTTTCGTAATAAACACATCACACATACAGGAGCTAATAAACAAAAAAAAAAGTATGATCAAGAGTTTGTGAATTGGTTTCAGAACAATGTATTTGAAGTTGATATTCAAATCAAAACTGTGTTAATATTTGCGTGAGGTGTATAGAACAATATAAAAATGGTAAAAATTTTTTATATATAATTTTATTGTATATTATTTTTATAAGTACTGTATAATACAGTAATAATTTTATTTTTAGATCAGAAAGAAAATCAATACGAATCAAATAAAAATATCAATACTATAGATGAAACTATTGAAACTATAGATTTAACAACTAATCAACCTTCGGACAATTTTTTTTTTACAACAAATTCTATATTGTCTAATTTACCTGTTAGTAACAATAATAAAATAGTTGAAATAAAAGCTCCCATAACAATAGAAGTTCCTGTAACAAAAACATTAGATGGTAATAAACTTTACATATCAATATTTATATATCTTATAATAAATAATTTTTTAATTTTATTTATTATTATAATTATTTATTATATACTATAGTGTTTATTACATTGGTATGCTATAATAAATTTGAAAAACCACATAAAAAATTAGATAGTGCATTGGCTATTCCATTTAATTCTAAAAATATAAAGACCTTTGGTAATATTGAAGAAGAAATTTTGTCACGCAACCTCCCAAAACAATAGGAAAAAATTGAAATTGGCCGTATTTGCTATCAGACTTCAAGTACCTCTAAAGCAGATCATTATGATTTAAAATCTGATAGTGCTATTGTAGCTTTTGTTGCTGAGATAAAACGAAAAAAAAAAGTACAATTATGTGTTTATCAAGAACCAAAAAATAAAATTATACATAATTTAGATGAAGAATCAAATCAATCAAATTCAAATCAATCAAATTTGAATTCGAATAAAAAAATTCATGTAAGTTATTTAAATTAATAATAATTATATAATTAAAAAAATAATTCAAATATATTTATTAATTACTAATATTAGACACTTGAAACGGATTCAGATACTTTAACAACTTTAAATATTATTAAAAAATATATATATGATAATCTTCCAACTTGTTCTATACATATTCAAGGATGTTTAATTTCAGAAGATGGTCGGCATTTAAAGTTAGATAGCGATGCAATAAACTTGTGGGCACGTGCAATTGTAAGTAATAATTAGTGCTTGGCAAAATCATAATTTTTAAGGTTTGATTTAGTACCAATTTACTTAAAAAATCACACTAAATCAAAAACTTGAAAATCAAGTTTTATTTGATTTTGCCAAGCACAAATAATTAATTAATTAATTAAATTATATGTAGTAATTAATAAAATTATATATAGTAATTAATAATTTTTATAAAAAGATTACTAAAATAAAAGGTGTTGACGAAAAAACTCCACCAAATGCACCAATGTTTGATAAGTCTAAATATCGATATCCAACATCAAATCGTTCTTTAAATAATATAAATATATCTAATAGTATATATACAGTATAAATTTGTTATTTTATTAGCAATTTAAATTATATATAGTATATAAAATAATTTTATATATATTTTATATTTACAAAAATTTTATTATATAGTAGACAATATTATTACAGCATCTACAGAAATTACGGCATCTACAGAAATTACATCAATGCTTCGATCTATTACTGTTCATACAAAAAAAAAATCACCATTTAAAGCAAATATCTATATTACAAAGGATATGATCTTTCAAAACTTGCTTACTTTTATATTTCCTAATGGTCCACCAAATGGAAAACGGTTTATTATCAAATTATCACTAGAATTAGATGGAAAAAACTTTTTACCAAATCAAATCATAAGTCAAGTATTTGTCGAACAACATACAAATATTTGGATAGAAATTAAAGATATCAAGATTAGTTTTGATGATTTGTTTGATTAGAATATATTAAACAAATTTGTTTAATGTACTTAATTTTAGAATAAAAAATTTTAGACTGTAAAACTGAATTTTTTTAATTTTTAATTTATAATTTGTATTTCAATCTGGATTTTTAATAAAAATTTATTATAGTTAATGAGGCCACAATTGCATATAAACTAAATATATTGTATAATATACAAATGTCGTAATGATTTCTTTTTTCTTTGTTTAAAAACAATTAAAATCAGGTTTAAAACATCTATAAATAAAATGTTGATGCCTTTCGATGATATTAATTTTGACGACGAGTCTATCAATGCTATAATATTTTGATTTTTTTTTTTTTGTTAGAGCAATCATGAATACAATCTTGTCTGCATTAACAAAAAATTCATCAGATTTTTCAAACTTTGACAGATATTTTCTCAATAAATACTGAACAAAATCAGCTCAAATTTTTATTGCGGATAATATATTTATTCAACTATAGTATATTAAAATTTCAGCCAATTTGGATTGATGATTCTTAAGAAATCACTAGTAAACGATGGTTAATTTTTTTAAAAAATTAACTATTGTTTACAAATAATTTCTTGAGAACCATTGATCCAAATTGGCTGGAATTTTAATATGCTATAGTTGAATAAATATATTATCCGCAATAAAAATTTGAGCCGATTTTGTTCAGTATTTATTGAGAAAATGTCTGTCAAAGTTTGAAAAAATCTGACAAATTTTATAAAAATCATTAGTAATTGAAAGTGATTATAATCTTTATACTATATATCAATAATCGTTATATATTGTTATTGATATATCTGATATATCGATATATATCTGTTTAAAAATTTTGCTGATGTAGTATATACAATTTTGTAAAAATCTTGATTTTCATCAAAGTAATATTTATGTTTGTGTAAAAATCGATTTTTAGAGCAATATGATCTTGAAAAATTTTAGATTTTTGCTAGTTTACAATAATCCTTAACAAAATAAAAAATATATATATAAAATAATGATAATATATATCTAAAAATCATTCTAAAAATTTTATTAACTATTGTAAATATCCACTATGTTGAAAACATGCACGAGCTAAATTTGCATTAATTGTCATGCAAGTAAGATCTAAAACATCTAAAGGATCTTCTATCGACTCTGCCCACTCTCGATTTTGACGTAAATAATTTTTAATATAAAAAAAGGCCTGCTCGATCTATTAAATATAATTTAATTAATATTAATTAATAAATATAAATTATTAAAGTTTTATAACTTACAGGATTATAATCAGGTGAATAAGGAGGTAAGAATTCTAATTTGACACTTTTTTCTTGACATAAATTATGCAAACGTGTTCCTCTATGAATACTTGCATTGTTTAAAACTAAAACACTAAATCGCTCGGGAAATGGGTTCATTTTTGGTAACTATATAATTTATATTTAATATATTATTATTTATTTATTTATTTTTTTATACAAAAATTTAATAAAACTTACTAAAACATTTTCAATAAAACTTTCATAATCTTGAGTATTCATAGAACCCTCCTGAATACTATATGCTAAAAGACCATTAATACATAATGCGCCCTCAATAGTAAATCATTTTTTTCTAACAAAAAATGAAAATTTTTGTGCACGATGACCTAAAAAACTCCAACCATAACGACGTGAGAGAGTTCTTCTATCATAAGCTGATTCATCTGAAAAAATCAACTGATTGGCTGTATATTGAGACATCTTTAGAACAAAATTACTTCTATCAATTTTATTTCTTTCTTTTGCAGGTTTTGATAGCTAATAAAATTAATTTAAATATACAATATGTAAAATGCATTTATTAAAGTTATTTTAAAATTATACTATGTATATACCTGTTTACGTGTATATCCAAGAGTATGTATTGCTCTCCAGATTGTTAAAAGACAAATACTACGACCTAACCAGAGCTCCATTTGTGATTGTAACTTGTACAAATACCAATCAGGCTTTTTTTTTAAAAGTGCTTCGAGATACTTTAGATCATTTGTAGTAAATAAATGTGGCCTTCCTACGAGTGCTTGAAGTTCTTCAACACAGCCATACTGCTGAAATTGTTTAAGAACCCGACCTACAGAAGATTTACTAACACCTAAGTGTTTAGCAATTGTACGAATTAGTAAACCATCTAAACTTTTTTCGACTATTTGCCAACGGATTTGTTTTGAAAGTTTTGAATATGTCGTGTAAACGTAGATCATATATTATACCGAAAATTGTATTACGGCCGAAAAAACATATTACCGACAATCACATAAAATTTTCGGTAAATGTAATTACCGAAAATTTACTGCGGATCAACAAAAATTTTATCACGTGTCCCACTAATTGAGATCAGCTGTAAAAAATAAGCCCGCATTATGGTAAAATTGACCCAGGAACAATTTTCATTTAATGGGCGGCTGCGATTACATTGAGTAATTCCAGCCTAATTTTTGATCGTCGCTCTTAGCCAATCAAAATCGAGGATCTGCCGCGCATTTTTTGTGCGGCACCTAGAGTAACCAATTACTGCGCCCGGTGCCAATCACGTTTGTTCTATAAATACATTTTTAATATGATAATCTTACAGCGTTCAAATATTAACTTCTTACTGAAAACTTAATGTAAATCTAATACTGCGAGGATATGAACTTTGTTAATTTTAAAGTAACAGAAGCAGGTTTAACTGTAACTTACTCTGATGGCAACAAGTCAAATCATCCCGACACGAATCAAAAACCAGACGAAAATGGTGCCGTTTTCTTCTATAAGTTAGTTGCCAAAGATGAGCATAAAGCTACTCTATATGCTACAAAACTCGGTAATGCACTCGGTAGTGCGTTGGAAGCACAAGGAATCAAAGTTCCAAATGGTATATATAACAAATGCAATGACAAAAGATTCTGGAAATGTACTAAAATTGTATTTTTTTAATTTAAGCTATTTTAAATGATTTACCTGACAGTTATGCGTTATATGAACGCGTTAAACAATATCCACCAGACGAATCGGGTAATGCTAAACCCATAAGAAAAGACGCATATTTGTTTGGTGAGTTTAATAATTAATCTCATATCAATTGTATACTAAACATACTTAGCTTTATATTCGTAGGTAATGGTTCAAAATACCGTTCGCCTGCCGAATTTGAAGAACATCTCTTATGGTTAGCTTCAGATAAGACTTCTTCCTGTAAATGCAGATACTGTGACAAAGAATGGAATCTAGGCTTGAATGCGGGCTCAACTCCGCGCAGAAAAAATGAATTGGATCCTTATCTTAAAAAGACAACTAAATCAAATGTACTTCAGAATGAAACTTTAAACTTGACATCAACATCTAACTTAAAAGTACATAAAGTCGAAACTACAACAAAAACATCTTTATTGCAAGAGGAAAAACCTAAAAAGTTAAAGAAACTCATTAGTATGTATCGTTGCGAAGAAATTGTTTGGGGCGAAATAGAATATTTATTGAGTTCAAGTCAATATGAGTCCCTGTTTGAAGAGGTCGGAGATGATCAGATAAAGTACTGGCCAGCATTGATTCATCAACGATTAAAGGAACCAAATGATAGTGGATTTGAAATATTATATGCCTTGAAGCCATTGATGTTACCCAATACGATAAAATTACCATACGAATCTATTTTACCATGGCTAGCCTACGATGCTTCGAATTCAACACAGGCGATTGAAAAGGCAATATATAATGATAGCCAAATTTATTTACAAAGGAATACGAAACGTGGTGAGTTAGCCAGTGCTTACCTTAAAGCTATTAAACGGGCAAAAGAGGTTGCTTCAATATTCACCGTATCACAGCAATACAAGTATACTATAGAACATTCATTCTTCGCAAAAATTGAGAGTGCGAGTGAAAAGAGATTATTACAGCAAATGGTAACATATCCACATTACAGAAAAATTTTATTAGGCACCGAAGTATTGCGGGAAGATGATTATGTTCGTTTGACACGTGCTTCATATAATTCTAGCGACAAATTGCCAATTTTTAGAATAAATACAATTTTTTTAAATGCTCTAAATAAAATTCAACTAAGCGGTGAGATGTTCATCAGAGGTCTACCGAAGAATGGTGAGAATGTGCCAACATTAATTCGAATGAATAAAGAAAAGGTCGAATATATAATAGATTTATCCGAAATTGCTGGGCGGTACTACAAACTGCACCCAGACATCACCCGTAGTATGTCTGTTAGTATTCCAGTGTCATATTCTGATCGGAAAACATTAATTGATGAAGCTTTAAAACGGAATGTATCTGAAACTGGTCCAAGGAAACAAATGGCCAAACGATCAATGGCATTACCGCCATTGCCGTCTTCAAATAGTAAGAAGATCAAGGCCAATGATGATGGATCAATTTCACATGTAATTCATGGTGATACAACGGTTTCTAATACTTTTGTTCAAAATAAATCTCAAGAATCGAATATTTCTATATCTTCCACACCGATCGCCTCAGTCATTCCTGCTTCTTCCGTTACCCATGCTGCTTCTGTTACCCCTGCTGCTTCTGTTACTTCTATTCCTGTTATCCCTGCCACCTCAGTCTCTTCTTCTACTACTACTACTACTACTACTACTACTACTACTTCTGTAATTTCCACCACTTCCGTTACTTCTACTACTTCTGATAACTTTACTACTTCTGATAACTTTACCACTTCTGATAACTTTACCACTTCTGATAACTTTACCACTTCTGATAACTTTACCACTTCCGATAACTTTACCACTTCTGATAACTTTACCGCTTCTAATAATTCTGGTACTTCTACTATTACTTCTGATAATATAAAAGTTACTGTAATAGTTTCTCCAACTATTCCATTTTTGGATGAATCTGATACAGAAATATTAGCTTAAATCTTGATTTATATTAGTAAAATTTTGGTAAAATTTTTAGCAAATACAGTATATACAATATATATATTATTATACAGTATACAATAGTATTATATACAGTAATACAGTATTTAAAAAATTATTACAACCATTATTACTAGTAATTATTATAGTAATTAGATATAACATGAAATTAAACCAATATTTTTATAAAAATATAAAAACATATACTGTTTATAAAAAAAAATTTAAAATAATTTTTTTAAATTTTTTTTTGCTATTAATTTACTATATTTGGGTTGCTTACTACTTCTTGATAGAGGTAGCTTCCCTCTTTGTTAGCTCTTGGACTTTTTTTTTTTGTTTTTTTTTGCATATTCTTGTTTCTCTTTTTTTTTTTAAATTTTCTCTTTTGTCTAGTTTGTTTTTTTTAATTATAGTTTATTTTTTTATTAATAGGTAGTTTTGTATTAATATAAAATTATCATTTTCTTTTGCTCTTGGTAAAGAAAGAAAAATTGAAGAGATTAGCTTATGATAGTTTATCCAACTTGTAACAAGTCAGTATAATGAATTGCTAATAGGCATGTTTTATTACAGCTATATAAGATACTGAGCTTGCAATTTTATGAAAACTTATTTAGTTCAGAAAATAGTACTTGTATATTTGAGATAGTTTACTATCATTAATTAAATAAAGTTTTTTGTATTTAAGCTTTAGCAAGGCTATCATAGAGCTAAAAAAAAAATTTATTATACTGTATATAGTATATTATACAAATATAGTAAATTTTTTTTTTAAAAAAAAATCTTTGACAGTCTTACCAGTGTTCAATTTATTAAGACTATATTATGGTTAGAGTAAACTCTCTTGAACAATATACATCATTCATAACCTAAACAGGAAGTCTCGTGATTGTGAGCCTGATATCACTCAGCTGTAATAAATATGCCTTTATACAACTTGTCGCACCAACCTGTATACAAGTTAGATAAACTTTGTTAGCCTGTCAAAGCCTTTTCCTTTATATTCTCTTTCTTTACCAAGAGCAAAAGAAAGTGATAATCTTATATCTAATACAAAACCACCAATAATACCAAAAAGACAAAATGAAAAAATAACAAAAAAAACAAATAGAATAAAGGAGAATTTTTAAAAAAAACAATAAAAGAGGGTATAATAAAATATAAAAAAAAAAAAACAAAAAGAAAAGCCCGAGGGCCAACAAAGAAGAAACTACCTCTATCAAGAAATAGTACAAATAGAATGAAAGAAAAAAAAAGAAAATTAAACTATTATAACTCATGTTAGATTTAAGAAAAAATTTTATAACAACTACAATGTTTGTATATCTCAACTATAATACAAAATACCATCTGACTACTAGCCACCTCCGAATGCCTCTTATGCCAAAGACCCGATCCCAGTCACATGAAGAACCCCATATCTACTGATTATGTTATGTCTCATATCTACTAATAAACAAGACATGTAGTTGTATTCCTGGGTATATCTGAATTTGGTAGATAAACAATGCTGATTTTTTAGAGAAGATAAACCAAATCACCTACTTTTTTCAAAAATTTTTAAAAGACTAGCCAAGCAACAAGAAAGACTTATGGAGAAACACTTGCACCTAAGGACAGTAGATATATTTATGAAAAGACTCAACAACTTCTAAACCTTCTTCCAGGAAAAAGTGAGGTATTTATGCTTTCTTTTCAGTAAGTGATAAACTCTGGGCTTGTTAGCAAGTAGCATATGAGAACTACTTCTAAAAGACAAATGCTATGCATATGATGAGTAATAAATTTTAAAGATGGTGTGGCGGCTTAGTGAAGTGGTCAAGTCATTACCCTCTCCAAGTAGCAGGTCTAGGGTTCAAATCCCATGGATGACGAAAGTTTGAAAAATAGACTTGCGTTATAGTAACAGATCTTCATTAAGTTGGGGCTTAGATTAACCTGTAACTTCGGGTCACACCAATGCTCTGTATTGGAAAGTT